CGAAAATGCAGCAGCCGACTTCACAATATGCCCGGATCATATTGTGAAGTCGGCTGCTGCTTGTCCGCTCGCGTTTAACAGTGAATTGTCGCTTGCGATGGCAGGGGACGGCAGATTGATCGGCGATCTCGCGCAGTTGCACTTTATCAAACGTGTGATGAGCGCGACGTATCCCAGCGAAGACACGACGTTCTTGACAAAGTGGAAGCGTATCATGGGATTGGCGTCCCGTCGAATTGCCATGACGTCTTCAAGGCGTGTGCCAGGTGATGGACTCATACGGACGAAGTCACGGAGCTGTCACGTGCGTCGAAGGCGCTCGGCACATTCGAGCTCGCGCTCATGTCGATCGCGCCAATACTTTTCAAAAATGATCAATGGATTCAGTACCTCACTGGTCAACAGGTCGAATGGATCCCAGCACATCATTCGCGCTTCCTGCACCCGAACACACTACTGCTTTTTCTTCGGTCGGACATCGGCTTGCTCTGCATGCAGCAGTGGCGAGAAGTGCAATGGCAGGGTCATTTGCTTCATGACTTGGAAGCGCTGCGCAAGCTCGATGGCTGTTATGCGGTCGAAGCATCGATGCTTAAGCTCTATGTGGCCACCAATGGTCTGGTGGTTCCAGTGTCGGGCGGCGTACCCACTCGCTGCTAAAGTTGTCTCGGCAGTACAACACACCTGGAACACCGAGTCTTTGATGACCGTGAACACGATTGGAATTAAGAAGAACGGACATCTGTTTATCGACAACCTTTTCTCGCAGCACTCGATATCGTGCGTTCAAGAAACCAAATTTGGCAGCGCATAGCATCTTTTGAACTTCAGCTTTCATCTCAACTCAAGCTTCAAACACAAACTTTTCGTCAACGACTCAAACGCGCTGCAGAATCGACCCACGAATAGTCGAAGCAGCGGCGTCCTGACGCTTCTGCGCTTCGATCTTCCCGGCTTTGATACGGCTGTCCAGCTATCGCGACTATCAGTGCCGGGACGCTACCTAATCGTGAAACTGATGGTCGAACTCGCTCCCGTCTACATTGACAACGTGTATGCGCCCATCGATCGACAAGAGAAGCAGAAGTTCTTCGCAGATTTGCCAATCGACGAGTTTGAGGACGATGCGACGCACTTTGTGCTTGGTGACTTGAACACACCACTCGACCCAAGATTGGACTGTTCGAAGCATCTACGCTACGACCCGAGTCGCTCCAGTTGTCTGGAGTGGCTCGCGAAACTCTGCGTCGACGATGCGTGGCGCATCCACTTCGACACCGAACGCGTGTTCACCGGTCAACTCCCGAAAGAATCGGCTTGACTATAATGTCAGATAAGTTCTGCGACCGTTACTATGATAAGTCCGGGTACTTCCTGCTCAAACACGCTGGCGATCACCTTGCACACAGCGTCTCGCTCCGCTCGGGCACGCAGCTCAACGGTCGAGGGTACTGGAAGTTTCTCCGCTACCTGCTTGACTATTCAAAGGTTGTCTCTGCAATCGAAAAGGAAGCCGAGCTCGTCCGGAATCAGTTACGTGCTGCTGAAAATCCCGGCAAAATTTAGGAGACGTGGAAGGTGAGCACCAAGGCGCAGCTGCAATGCGTGCAGAAGATGCTACGACGGCAAGATTTGCAAATGTTGAAGCCGTGTCGCGCTGGATCAAGCCGCCGAGCAGTATCGCGTATCGTCGAACGGGGACAACAGTGAGCTCTTCGAAGAAGCGATGCGTAATTACAAAGAGACGGTGCTAAGATCAAGTCAGTACAGCCAAGACAATGCATTCGACTTCCAAGCAGCAAACTCCCAACGTTCCACCAAGTACTTTTTCCGTCCACTGGACACAAGTTTACGGCGTGTCTCCATTAAAGAAGTCGTGACACCGAGTGGAGATGTCTCGATAAACCCTCAAGAAATCTCGCTGCGATTCATTGAGCATTGGGGCTCCGAGATGGGGGATGCCAATAGTCCGACTGGAATGGCACCTCCACCCGATGACGGCAAACAGCGCCAGCTTCTTAAATTGGTCTTGCGTTTTGTCACATATTCCGACCGCGAGATGCTTGACGCTGAGCTGACGACAGCAGACCTCGCTTGTGCGATCCGGCATATGAAGGCGACATCATCTCCAGGTATGGACGGCTTGACTGCTGGATTCTAGCAAGTAGCACCAGACGAGTTTGGAGAGTGTTTGGCGATCGTTTTTAACGATCGACTCCAACGCGGCGAGCTCCTAGTGTCCCAGCGCAAGTCGGCGGTAGTACTGCGACACAAGAAAGGTTTGCGTGCTGAGCCGGGTAACTACCGACCAATCGCGCTTGTGTCAGACGACGTTAAAGAGCTAACGTATCGGCTGCAAATATGATTGTCAACTTGATTCATCCAGATCAGAAGGGTTTTGTCAGAGGTCGCTCCATCCATCATCACGTGCGCTTCCTCGCCGACTTGCAAGATCTCGTCACAAATCAAGACGAAGAGTCATATGCAATGTTCTTAGACTTCCAAAGGCGTTTGATCGCGTCAAATGGGCATACATGTTTCGACTGCTGGCGCGCATGGGCTTCAGGAAAAAGTCCATCGCTTGATTCCAGCTACTGTACACCAAGCCACAAGCCCACCTACATATCAATGGCAGTATCCAGCCGGTACTACATCCAACATGCGGCGTGAAGCAAGGCGATCCATGTCTGCCTTACTCTTTATTCTTACAATCGAGCCCCTTGGGAATCTGCTTCGCGCACACGAGGAGTATGGCGTGTGCTTGAGCGCAGACCACACCACAACAGGCACGTTCTTTGCAGACGACTCAACTCTTCTCACCAGCTTGATTGCAAACTTGCAGGCATAGCTTAAAATCGTAGCGGATTATTGTGACGGTTCTGGAGCAAAGCTTACCCTTGCCAAGTCGGTGCTATTGGCGCTTAATCAGAAGGTAGACTGTCCTCAGTTGCCTGGCGCCCACGTGCTCGATCGCAACGAAACTGTCAAGGACTTAGGCATCCCATCCAGCCAAGATCCAGTCGACAACACAATCGTCAAGCTCTTGGATCAACGCTTCTACGACGGCATCAACGCGTGGTACCGACGTGCGCTAACTCTTCGTGGTCGACTTCTCGTTGTACAAACGATGGTTTTCTCGCGCCTGTAGCACTACAGGCTCCATATCTGAATCCCACAGACAGTCGTGCAACGCTGGCAGTCTGTGCTGAACCGATTCATTCTGAGCCGCAACATGACAAAGACGCGAAGCACATGCAGCTCATGCCGGGTGAGTTCGTGTATCAGAGACGAGGCGACGGAGGACTTGGTGTTCCATGTTTAGATGCGCACTTCAAATGTCAGCGTCTCTCACTACTTCTGCGGTTTATGCGTCCGGCAAGTAAGACTAGCGAGCGCAATTGGACCACGGCGGGCGTCGAGTTGCTGGTGTCCATACTGCCACAGTACGGCAAGCGCAACGCGTTGGACTTCCTCACGATCTCCCCACTCCGACACGGTGAGCTGATTCAGTGGAATGTAGCGTCGATTTGGTGGTGAATGTCATGGACCTTGTGGTACAAGGCCCGCTGGAAGATAACATGGCATGACCTTTCCCCAGAGGAACGAGCAGGTTATGGACTTGAGCAGCCGATATAATTCCACGCCGACGCTCAGCTGCATTAACTAAGCGATCAAGCACTACAGTGGCTCATCGTCGTTGCATCGGCATGGTGCCTGCGCCGCAGAGAAACTTCCGTCTGCATGTGTCGCGAGTCTTCAGGCTGCGGTCACTGTCGGACTTTATGGTTGCAGGTAATGCGTGGCCGTCTCGACAGGATTTTCTACAGCGACACATTGACTTCACTCTCGAGTCTACGCCGCCTGGACTGCAAGCAAAATGGCTTGGAAGGCTGTACAAGGAGACGACGCAGATTGTGGTGAGGCTTGGTGCGCTGCGACTCGCCCTGCCTCTATCAAGAAGTCCAAGGGTAGGCTTACTTCTCTATCTTGGCGTGGCAAGTGGCGCTAGAGTGTTCCTGATTCCGGCAATTCTACAGTCAGCACTTCTGAGTACCGTGTGGACACTAAAACTCCAAGCACACCGCACCCGATGACTGTCTACTCGCAACGTGTCAACGAAGCACAGATCAAGTCTTTT